CTAGGAACTGCTAGCCAGGTATGGGTAGTGCGGGCACGCATTGGCAGTCTGTAAATACTCCAAACACCTAGGGGCGTGGGCCAGGTGTGCGTAGTGGCAAGAGCGGTGACACAGGGGGAGTGGGGGGTTGGGGGAGGGTGTGGGGACGCATTGGCAGCTTTTGAATTTCTTTAAACAGCTAGGAACTGCTAGCCAGGTATGGGTGGTGGCGACGGCGGTGAACGGCGGGGGCGGTGAACGGCGGGGGCGGTGGGGGTGGTGAGGGTGGTGAGGGCGCGGAGGGGTGTGGGCACGCATTGGGAGCCTCTAAATACTCTCTAAACACTTAAGAAATGCGAGCCAGGTCTGGGTAGTGGCGAGGCAAAGCGGGCCAGGTGTGGGTAGTGGCGAGGGCGGTGACAGGGGGGCGGTGGAGGTGGTGGGGGTGGCGAGGGTGGTGACGGCGTGGGGCGGTGGAGTGGTGAGGGCGCGAGGGAGCGGGGGTCTACTTTCTAAACACCTAGGAGATGCGAGCCAGGAGTGGATAATGCCGAATCGGGGAAGCTTTGCGTGCGGCGCGGTAACATGCGAGCCAGGCGTGGATACTGGCGAGACGGGGCGGCGCGGTGGGGGCGGTGGGGGTGGTGGAAATATAGGCAAGCCAAAACTACCCAAGAGACGAAAAAACCTCTCGGGATATCACTGGCGCCGCTCACCACGGGGGTGGGCGGATTCCGCAAAAGTTCAACTGCCTCGACAGGAACGAGGTTTCGTGTTACTGCTACTGCTACAGTATTCGTCGAATGCTGCACCTTGCAGAAGAGCTTGAGATAGGTGTTTGGCAAGATGACATGGGCAGACGCCACAGACAAGACAGAAAACATGTGTTGGCCGCTGAGACTCACAAGGCCGCAACCCTGAATTTTATAAATTCGCAAGCGGAAGATACGACCTGCCAGAAGGTCTGAACCCTAGAACCCTTAAGTCGATGCGCCTTCAGCACTGATCCAGCAGGCAGGCTTTCAATACGCAAATCCGGTGGCCTCCAGAATATCTCGGGCTAGGGCTTTGCTGCTCAGGGATGCTCTGGTGTAGGGTTTTAGACCAGGGCTTGAGGGATCAAGGTTGAGACAGCATGCAGCTTCGCAAACGTTGTTCCATGTTCTGCCCGGCCATGCTCCTCTCCCCATTTCAAGAAGTTGTGCCCTGAAGGAAATCCTAGTTTAGGCTGGCCCTGGTTCATTCTGCAGGTTAGCTTGCTGACCACCTTGCACAAGCAGGACCTTTCTCCTAGTTTTGCAGCCCCAGAGCACGGGGAGATACGCGCTCTGTGGCCACAGTGAGGTTGCTTTGAATTGAAAACCGTTCTCTCCTTGCCGAAGATGCTCAACTCTACACTCTACACTCTAACCTTGCAGCAGCAGAGGAGTAGGTGGAAAAGCAACCATGGCGGCCCCCTGCAGCCCCGAATTTGACACTTGTGCTCCTGGCCATGGCCTGCCATGGCGCGAAGCAGATCGAGCAGGTCGCGCTCGCGCTCGCCTGGTGGCTGGAGATGCCTCCGGCAAGGCGAGGTGCAAGGCAGCTCCCCAGAGGTCCGGACTCCGACTGAAACAAGGCCTGGTGTGTTGTGGCCTTCGAATGCATTTCAGGGCAGTGACCGCTCGACGGCCAGGCGCCGGACTGCTTTTGTCAGCTTGGCCACAGAAGACTATGGACGGGGTGCACTGGTGATGTCTGTGACTGGGCTGCGATGTGCTGCGATGCGGGCGCTTACGGTCACCACGGCAACAGAGAGCTGCAACCGCAGGCGAGCATGCGAACCCGACTGCCAGAAGACGTGGACGTGGTCGTCTTTAGCGATGCAGAGCTGGCAGTGGTGCCAGGCGGAGCGCGCCTTCGTGCCAGGCTTCCTGGCATGACATGATAATCGCGTGGATTCGCACTGGATCTGCCAGGTGTCTCTGTGCGTGAGTTGGAGGACCTCCCAAAAGTATCCCCACCGCAGCAAGCAGGCGAACCGCTGATGCCAGATACCTGGGTTTTCAGATGCTTGTGATGCAGATCTCACAGCGGTTCCTGCAGCGCCTGCTACCGCAGCGAAAGTGTCAACGGCACGGCATTGTGCTGCCGTGAGGCCACATTTCCGGTTTTGCTGGCGCAAGCTGGGCCTCTGGGCTCTGGAGGTCCGGCTCCCAGGGTGTTTGGGGGTTCCGGCTGTGCCATGCTGTGCCTCTCTGTTGAAGCTCTCGGTAATGCTCACAGAGAGATGTTTACATGGACATCAAAGATGCAAGAATTTCTCTGCCGTCCTGTCTTCTTGACTGCCTGTCCAAGCACCACTGACCGTGCGGCAGAGGAGTATGATGTCATCTTCTATCTGGACTCGGACATGTTGGCAGTGGGTGATGTTGCCGGGTTGTTGGACTTCCTGCCAGAAGAAGGGCAGCCCGCTGCTCAGCGACACCGTGGGTGGGAGGCAACTTCGGTCCCGATGCCACGCGTGCGTTTTGAGGTTGGGTGCCGTGCCTTCCTGCGAGTGTTGGCGGTCGGAATCCTGCAACTACACCTTGGGGCCGAGAGAAGGCCCCTCAAAATGCCGCAAGGCAGCATTGAAACTTCGCCCTCTCTTGGCAGAGGCCTCTACGTCAACGCAGGGCTGCTTTGTTTCCGACCGAGTATGCTGGAGCTCGGCAAGATGAGAGAAGCGCTGGCAAACTGGACTTTCTCAGAGCCACTTTGCCCCAACAGACCAGCCGGTGCGCCTCAATTGCCTCTATTGTTTGTTGCACACTTCAACGGAATCAGTATTAGTCTGCTCTAGTTCTTCCAGTCGCAGCATGCAGTCCAAACGCCGCGAATGTTGTATGTCCGTGCGGTGTTTAGCTGGTCAGTGGTGGTGTTTAGCTGACAACTGCAAGACTGCGGGGCGCACGTGCATGTGGCAGTTGTCAGGCGAGATGCACAGCCGAATGCCGCCCACTTCTTCCCAGAAGCAATGTTCCCTGGACAGACACATTGCATGGACTCCAAGCAGGAAGCTAGGAGCCGACGACCGACTCGCGATTCCAGCGCCTGCAAGAAGAGCAGTGCTTGAGGCCATTTGCTGAACAAGATTTTCTCAACAGCTTCTTCCGTGGGCGGATACGACCCTTGCCATCGGCCTTCAACGTGACCTGGCATGTTCAGGTTTCGGTAAGTCTTTGGTCGTGAGTGCCGGTAGCAGACAGCCATCACGTCAGAGGATGCTAGGATACGCTAGGGAGACTGAGCTCGTTTCTGCAGATTAACAGCATCTGGTACGAAAGATAGTGCATGTCGGAGGCATGCCCGCGCATTGCAGAGACGACGGCAGTTGATCCACGTGACTTAAGTCGATGAGCGCAACCTCCGCGGATTCGTGAAGATCCGATCTGAGGCGCTCCAGCATGCCATGAAGAATCCAAAGCACATGGCGGCATTGGAGCTTGAAAAGTGCCGAATCCTGCACTATGTCATGGGGAAGCCGAGCCCTTAGCACAGGAGAGGATTATGTTGGACAATTGGGGTGTTTGGCAGCCATCGGACTCCTGGATTCCGGCTTGGTAGGACCCAGTGCCAGGGACTCTTTCGTAGACCACAAGCTCGGGAAGCTGGAACCGTAATGCAAGCTGTTCGAAGGGCTTTTTAGAGAAGGGTTGCGAGTGAAATATGGGTACCGGGTACTGCAGCGGGCCAAGGCCATGGGAGCGTGCGAGCAGAGTGGACGAGGATGTTGCGGATCTGCGCGCGCTCTGGTGGCAGGCGTGGAAGGACCGCGTGAGGCGCAGCGCCGGGCCGGGCTTTCTCTCCGTCGCTCCTCTGCAGAGGACAATGCTTCGAAGGCTTGCCTTCATCCGCGCTGGGAACGGCATCGTGTACACGCCGCTCTCCCCCTTTTTCTGGTGAAGGACTTCGTGAACGTGGAGGGGGAGGCAGGGTCTTTGCAAGAGGCTTCAGAGGCAGAGGCGGCAGCCAAGGCCTCCCTGATCTCCGAGATCTACGGGGAGGAGTTGAAGGCACACGGCCTGGGACGCTACGCCAGAAGCGAGAGATCTGCAACTCAGGGAAGATGGACGCAGCTGAGACGGCGACGCCTCATGTGCCTCGGAGGCTTGGACCGGCGAGTGGAGCCGTTTCTTCCGCCGAAATTTCTGCCGGTGCAGGTGTGCCTCATCCAGACGGGGCCATTTGTGAAGACCTTCCCCCAGCCATCTTCCAACTTGGATCAAACCTCGTCCGGGTGGGTGCCACGGAAGGTCAGTGGCTGACGGTGTCAGTGTGCCAGTGGCAATGCTGATGTGTAATTGTATGTTCATCAGGACCGCCAAATCAGTGCTTCATCAACCACTACAGTCCCGGTGAGGGCATCGATGCTCATTGCACCATGACTGGATGAGGTAAGTCAAACCTATAATTATGGGTTCAGCAGTCCTGTCTTGGTGCCCCTTGTCCTCCCTCCGTCCCTGCCTCCCTTCTTTCACTTTCTTCCTTGAGGTGACGGGCCACAATTTCATCCGGAGGTGGCGATCCTCACTCTGGAAGGCCCCGCGCTGCTGCACTTTGGTCTCGTGGAGAAGAAGGTGCGGCCACTGCGAGCCACCCCAAGCCTGCGAGTGCTCGCAGTCCGCAGGCGTACCTGCATCTTCCTCCTCGCTTCGAGGCGGTGCTTTGGAGTCCAAGCGTTGATACTCGGCGATGCCTTCTGCAGAGGTGCTGCTGGAGCCCAGATCCTTGCTTGTGATGAGGGGCGAGGCGTACAACCTCTATGTGCATCGCATTGATCATGCGGAGGCACCCAAAAGTGCCTTTGAGCCTGTGTCGGCCTGCAAGACGCTTTGTGGATACGTACCGTCCTGCAGGCAGAAACTACAAGGCCTGAAGAAAAGAGCCCAAGAACGGCAGCATTGAACAAGTGTTCCATTTGCTGGTTCCAGGGATGGTCTCGAAGTTCAGCGTGCTCGGCGAAGAACGTCCTTGACCTTTCGACGCCTGGCGCACGTGAAGTTGGAGAGCAAGGCAGAGATGCATAGTTGGGAAACCGGGGCTGGGGTGGGAATGCCTCGCTGTTTCAACTGTCGGAGGATGTGAAGGGCGAGGCTGAGAGACTTGGCCGACAGGCTCAGTGGCGCTGGTTCGCGACCCAGCTTAGCGAGTTCGACTAGACAGAGCGCTCGGCCCTGCACCGGGGCGACTGGCCGCGGTACACGCAGCAACTTCCCCCCGTGTGCCGGGAGCATGAAGCATGCGCGGAGAAAAGGGTGGGAAGAAAGTCGGGCGCTTGATCTCGACTTGTCGTCGATCCGGCCTGCAGGAGGTGGAGGAGCTTCGCTGTCAGCACGCTCTGAAGGCAGGGAGGAACAGACACGGAGTCGCGGGCTGTGCGGTGACCTGGAAGGTAGCGGAGCTCGAGCGCGCGAGACGAGAGCAGGCAGCGACTTCGTATGAGTGGAATCTCGTTTGCATGTTTGGCTCCGGTACGTGGAGGTCGATGAGCTGAAGCGGTCAAACGCGGAGGCCGCAGTGCGCCCTGAGGGTGCCGGCAGTGCGACCCGCGCGTGGCAGGAGTCAGACCAGCTCCGCTCGGCCTTGGAGTCAGCTCGATGGCAGGCACCTGCCCAGCCCCGCCCGCCGAAGCCTTCGGATTCAAAACAGCGGTCCTTGGGACTCACATGTAACGTGTGTCTGCGGCGAGCGTATAGTCTAGTGTGGCGACCCAAGAAAAGGCCTCTAGGATGCGGAGATGTGCCAGAAGGCAACGAAGAAAACAGAGAGAAGTCGGTCGAGCCAAGCTCCCGACTTCTTGCGCCTGCTTCCGCCTGCTTGGCAGAATCAGTTACAGGACCAAAAAAGCTAGACACGCACCGTAGTTACCATCTGCAAAGTCCTGCTTTCAGGCGGACGTGTACGTTCGGGAGCATCAGGCCATCGACCAAAGATTGCGGCTCGTGTCCCTTTCTAGTGATGCATTGAGCCAAATTTCTTGGCCAGTGCAGGAGGCTGTTCGAGAAATCTGCCTGAGGTGGGGAGAAATCCCCCAGCTGCTGGCGGGTTTGCACTTGCAGCTTTCTTCAGGCAGAGGGAGAATGCTCGCTTGGCAAAGAAGCACAGCGAATCACGGCAAGAAGTGCGGCCCTCAATGATAATACGCCTGGATCTGGCACCCCACACACCAACGCAGGATCGTGTAGTGTATTGACCATGGTTTGCACAGGATAAGGTTTAAAGTTTAAAAGGTCTCTGTGCATGTTTGTCACCTTGCCCTCTGTGTCCTCTGTGCAGAACCCCAAAAAAGACCTAGCATATCCTGGCATTTTACACATGCTGGAAATTGTGCCGAGGCCCTCGAACTGGCCGTTCGCCTCGAAGCGCTGAAGGCGGCCGAGGTTCGAGCCGACAGCTCGTAGAACGTCGTAGGGACCTAGGATGGAGATGTCCAAGTTTGCCCAGAACTCCTCGCATCTCCTTGCTCTTTGCTGTGCTGTGCAGGGTTGTTTCCTTGCGTTGTCGTCATCGCAGACTCTTCCAGCTTTGGTTCGCAGCTCCAGTGCGGTGCTCGAAACCTGTAGGGTCATCAGCAAGACAGGACAATCGGATGTGTACAGGAACCACGGGACTTACACAATATCTTTTTCTCCAGCATTTTCGAACAGCCGCAAAAGTCTCAGCTGCCGTGCTTTGCCATGGCTGTCGAGGAGGCTGACCCAACAGACAAGCACACCGGGACCCTGGACAATAACGTGGCTATGCAGACCGATGGTGTATCCGGCTCAAAGAAGCCAAGCTCGCAAGGCTACCCGCACACCACACCCACTCAGAATTGCAAAATGGCGCTGGTCGAAGTGACCAAAGTGACCAAAGAAGCTTCCGCCACCAGTCGGCCGGATCCTGAGGACGAAGCTACGACCGCGAATTACGCAGGTCCCTTGGATGTGTCCATGTCGGATGCAGTGACGGAAGACACTGCGCCAGGGGCAGAGACCGAAACGCCACAGGAAGACAAGAATCTCCCGGCCCAGTTGGTGGAGCCAAACCGCCAGGAGGCCAAGACGTGTCGCGGAGACGCCAGTCCACTCGAATCATTGCGTCGAGGCCAGCCTTGAGGGGAGAGACGGCTTAGTTCATATAATTATATATGATGATGATTATTATTAGTATTACTGTTCGAAATGTTTCCCCAAGTCCATAGAGTCAGGGAGCAGAGGGGTTTCAGGCAAGGCGTACAGAGGCGACAGGTGGTGGGACCACGTTAACATAGCTGGAAAACAAGCGGGCAGCCGCAGTCCTGAGCAGGTCAGCCAGAAAGTCAGCTGACTGCTTGCTTCAATCTGCCCGATGTGACGGAGACCTTGGGGGCGGCCTGCTGCGACCCGCCACTGCTTGGGCGGCATCTTGGAACAAGCTTAAGATCCATGCAGACAAAGATCGAGAGCAGTACTGACACAGCCCCCCTTCTAGCCCGCTTCTTTGCTTGCTCCGGTACCATCATTGCTATTGCATGGTAGCAAGGGTGGCAAGGTCAGCGAGACTAAGACTCGGGCCAGTGAGGATAATGCATGTTGGCTAGCTATCCCTGTAAATTTCCGAATGACGGTCCAGGCTCGGCATGGCAGATGTCACCTTGCACCGACTCATCTTCTCCCGCAGCTTCGCTGAACGGCGGGCGCAGGACTTCTGCGAGAATGGCATGATTTGGGCATCAGGGTGCACCAGCCTCGAACAGCTACAGATCGGCCTCAGCGTCTCGGAGGTCTGTGCTTCAGATAGCCAGAACCATCTGTACTTCGAGTACGGAGGTGGTGTGAACCTTCTGGAGGAGACGAAGCAGCTGGTCCATGCAGCTGCGCTGTTTGCTCAGAAACACCCTCGATTGCGACTGCATGTAGATGCGCATGCAGGGGTTGGTGCACCCCGGGGAATCGCCACCAGCACCTCGCGCCGACGCGCGGAGTGTGTGCAGACCGAGCTTGTTGCTCTTGGGGTGGACCAAGAGAGAGTCTCCACCACTTCTTGGGGAAGGAGGGTCGCAAGTGTTTGGTCTGAGCCAGAAGGTAATGCGGCTGCTCGAGCCGAGCTGTATTTCCGTCTGGGCGAGAAGGAGTTTCCGGTACGGCCGGATCACTACCAAGACGTTCCAGAGGGGAACAAAGGCGACTCACCAGACTCTGACTCTGACGGCGATCATCCGAACATCAGACGGCAGCGCATGCTCGCCATGCTCAGGGCTTTGGGATATCCTGTCCAAATTGTTTATCGAAATCCTGAGAACGTCCCTCTCCTCGCAAGGCAAGAATCATCATCGGAGCAAGAGACCGAGGAGACCGAGAGCTGAGATTCAAGTTTCCAGCTGCGGATTCTTAATATGCCTAACTTGCGCAGACGGCGAAGGGCACGTAGCTCTTGCCCGCAATGCGCATAGCTGTACATAGCTCACTAGGACCAAGGATTTAGCGGTTTCGGAGCATACAGAAACAGTCCCTCGAAAGCCCTTGAGCTCCGAGATCTGGTGGGGGAGTATCCAGGCTGGCGCACCTGCAAGGCAAGCCGAGCTACAGGCTGTCCGTCCCTTATCCGAGCACTGAACCCTTCGGGCTTCGCACTTAGAATTCGACGAGGTGCGACATCGCTACAACCTGCTGCTGCAAACTGCGGCGGAATGGCGGGAGGTGGCACAGAGTCGTAGAGTCGTAGCAATGTCTGCACACGCTTGACTGCCAGGCGTTGATACGGAAGCAGGGCGACTGCGACCTGTGGCGGCGGCGATCGGCATTCTCTGCCTGTTGCGAGAGCTTCAAGGCGCCCTTCTTTGGAGCATTCTGCTTAGCTTCTTTGCCAGGAGTCCAAGGGACTCGCAGTGCGCCGCGACGATGCAGAGCTTCAGGCTCATGACTGGGCCGCTTCAAGGGATCTTCGCGACTGTGGCGTCAGGCTGAAATCCAAAGCTTGGTTGCTGCACCGGCGTTCAGGCCATGCCATGTCCTGGCATGCCTTCTGCGTGTATCCGGGGTTCTCTTAATGCTTGGTCTTCTGTTCGCCAGTCCTCCACGACTCGGCTACTGGGGAGAGGACGGTGTGCACTTTGCCGTGGTGTAGGGGTGAGCCCGGGGACATGGAGAGGCTTTTGGCGGCGACAGACCGACAACGCAGACGACGAGCGAGAATCTCAGAGACGACATGGCTTCCATGAGGCTGCGCGGCTTGTGCCTTGTGGAGGTCATATCGGTCAGGATGACAGCTCGTGCCTTACAGTGTTACAGACACATGTGAGCTTTGAGTTGGATTGGATGGCACTGACTTCTTTGGGCTTTGCGAGGTCGGAGTGCCGCCTCCTGGGCCGGTTGGATGCGCACACCCAACAGGCGACGACAATCTTGGGGTCCGACATCTGAAGTCGTCTGAAAACGTAGTGCTCAGGCGAACAGCGCCCCTGCAGTCACCTTTGTGGAGACGTCCAGCTCGCAGAGGGAGGTCGCTTGAGTCTTCCAGGCACTGCATCGCTGGGGACGGCTTTGCCGGAGAAGCCATGTTTGATTTGAATCTGACTGGCAGAGCACGTGATGGACCGCCTTCCTTCGTGTCTCGTTTGAGAGAAGCCCGAAGCTTTCAGGGCTCTCCTGAGCCTCCAGAGCCAGGCTCGGGCTTCCTGTCTCCGGGCCACGTGGGAGCCTGAGCCAAGGCTTCCGCGTTACGTATTACGAGGAGGGACCTCCTGCTCCCGAGGTTTGGATGTGACTCCACGCTCGCCGCCTCGCCCCCGAGTTTTCATTTCTGTATGTGCTTCGTTTCAACTTGTCGGATTGAACATCAGGTCTCCTCACCCAGCAGGGGAGGCAAGACAAGTCTTGCCTAGGTGGTCTAGACTGTACGGCTTGCTCCGGTGCACGAGTCGCCTGCGAAAAGGTTTTCCTCGAACTCAGCCAGACGGGCAAACGTTACATCATCTGCTGTAAGAGCATCCGTTGTGTCCGCACCTGCAAGGAAGACTGGTGAAGCACCCGCAGAAACCCCATTTAGCACTGTAGCCACGCAGTTACAAAACGGGATGACTGTGCCATGCGCAGCTCATGGCCCCTGAACCGGATCCATGCTCGAGCTCCTGCTGCGACTTGTGATTGTGCACATGCCTCAGACTGCCGCAGATGACGGGATTGAGTCTCAGAGTGAAGGACCAGAGAGCGAGGGCTGTCTTGTTCCCGCAGGTTTTGTTTTGGTCGGCTCGAGCGTTAACTTGAGGCATTTTGCCTCTCGCAGAGAATCCCGCAGAGTAGCCATGGAGGACAGCTCCAATCCAGTCTCGTTGGACTGCGCAGCTTCGGTCAACCTCCCCATGGATGTGGAGGCCGTGGCAGCCACACAGCTGGACCCGGCCACGCAGCTGGACCCTGCCACTCCTCCTGAGGAGGCTTTGACCGCGACCTTGAGGGAGGAGACACCGGCAGTGACTCCAGTCAAGAAGCGGAGGCAGTCCCACGAGGCCCTGCTGTCTCCAGTGAAGACGTCTCCTGCAGCGTCCGCCTCGTCGTCCTGGGCCATAGTCAAGGAGGATCCACACCTCGCATCTCCAAGTAAAGTCCGGTGAAGAGTCCATGGCTGGTACGGTTCAAGATGCGAGGCTCCGAGCTTCAGGTACTTGGTGAAGCGCAGCACGTGGACTACGCCGATAGTGCTCTCCGCCAAAAGCGTACGACTCCTCAGGTGCTCCACGGGAATCTCCTCTATGAGCTGCTCACAGAGTTCGTCGACGCGGCTGCCGTCGCCGGGCAGACGTCTGCCTAACCAGCGTGCGATCACAGCGCGGTACCGATTATGTACAGTTACTGCACGCGCGGTAGCAAGATCCGACATGTCTTGCGGACCACAGTTCTTCTAGCAACGCGGTGCTTCGCGAAGCGGTCGCAGTGCCGCCAGAAGAGGAAGCAGAGACGCCCAGGAAGTACGACTGGAAGCGCTGGACGCGCTTCGCCAAGGCTGGCAACTTGAGTGTTGCGGAGTGGCAGGAGCTGCACCGGATGGGGTTCTCAGACTCAGGGGCCCACCTGGAGCCCTTGCCAGTTATGGCCGACTCCGAAGAGCTCTGGACTTATCCCTGGCTCAAAGCAGACACCGTCTGCCCGGTGGGCTTTTATCAAGATCCCGAGAACTGTGGTCCGCAAGACATGTCGGATCTTGCTACCGCGCGTGCAGTAACTGTACATAATCGGTACCGCGCTGTGATCGCACGCTGGTTAGGCAGACGTCTGCCCGGCTACGGCAGCCGCGTCGACGAACTCTGTGAGCAGCTCATAGAGGAGATTCCCGTGGAGCACCTGAGGAGTCGTACGTTTTTGGCGGAGAGCACTATCGGCGTAGTCCACGTGCTGCGTTCACCAAGTACCTGAAGCTCGGAGCCTCGCATCTTGAACCGTGCCAGAAGAGCCGAGACCAAGGGCTATCAGCGAGACTCCAGTCCTACAAGCGCCAGTACGCTTCCGAGGACTGCCGCCTCGAAAGCCTGCCCGTGGTCGTTGTCTGTCGCACTGCAGCCCACTCACTGCTCCTGGAAGGGTTTCTACACCGATACATGCGACGGTGGTATCCCGACATGGTGATTTCGGAGTCTGACTCCATAGACCTTTACAGCCTGGACGCGCAGGACGTCCTGCTACAGCAGCTTCACTGCCGCGCACAGTGCTCGGCTCGCCAGCTGAAGGTCTGGAAGCAGTGGCTAGAGACCAGCGTCCTTGGCTCCGAGGACGACAACCTGCCAGAGGAGAACTCGAGCCTGGACCTCTGACAAAGAGAGCTCTTTTTTCCCTCTCCAACCACCGATCCTCTAGGGATCCTTCGGCAGGGAACGTACAGCACTTGCAGCCTTCGAGCTGTCGAATTCGTCACGCTTGCAGCACCAACAAGAAAAAACAGTGTTTTCTGGCCGGGCCAAGGGGTGCAGGCCTTGACATAGACGAATTTTTCAAGTTGCGAGGTGGCTGGTGCCAGGCGGCGCGCTCGCTGCCGGGGTCACTCCTGACTTGTGCCTCGAAGTCGAAAGTTTTGCAAACACCCGAGCACCAGGCTCTGCCCACGCTGTGCTCTGAGGCTCACCAGCCTTCTGTCCATCGGCGCGACCCTTTGCGAAATCTGGATATGGCTTTCAGCGCTCACAAGCTCCAAGCGTCGATCGCCTCCTTGGCGAAGCTTTTTCCTGCGACTTGCAGGCTTGTGCACGCTGCAGTCGCTAGTCGCAAGAAGAGGCAGTAAGGTTTTTGGCCGCTTCGAACCACCCCTTTGAGAAGTGTATCAGCCAGCCGCAGTGTGCGTCGTTTTCAGGTTGAAGGCACTGCAGGCGGTGTGCTGCTTTGGTTGTACGTGATTTGAGGCTGTGGTCGCTGCTGCTTCATGAAAGCATGCGGCCCGACGACTCAGACCAGCCTGCCGAGCCCGTCCAGTCTGAGAAGCCTGCGAATTTTGATGCTCCCATGATGCGAGGTTCGAAGGCCCGAGAAAGGGGTGGGTACCGGTAGCAGCTGGTAGGGCAACGGGCGATGCAGCTGCATCTCACAGGCAAAGTCCATGGTGGTGCCACCAAAGATGTCGGCACCATCCCCTTCACCTCGGCCCCTTGCAGCTGTGGAGGTGCCTCATTGCAGTTTCTGCGGATACATGTCGCAAGCACGGCAGCTGCGAGGTTGAGACTCCACGGATAGCACGCGCCTCGCTGGCAGCTGTCGGTGAGGGTAACTTCGTGGTAGATGCAGAGCCGGAAGACCTGAAGTGGTCGCCACGCACCATCTCAGTCGCCGGAGCCCTAGCGACTGGACCTTCACGGACCCGCTCCAAAATGTTCCTGCAGCCGTTGAAGGGATCGTTAGTGGACTATAAGGTGCTCCCATGTGCAGAAGAGCGAGATTTGGCAGCCACTTGATAGCAGCTGCATAGCCAAGAGTGTTTGCTTGGGCTCACTTGTTCTCAAAGCCTGACACAGTTAGTCGTCCTTTGCTTGCCGTGTCCCGAGTTCAAAACCGTGAAGTCTGTCTTCGACGAGACTCCGACTGACATTCTGCATGAGATCGTCGTTGTTGATGACGGCAGCAGCTGCGAAGCATGTTGTTTTTCATCCTTCTTAGGAGGATAGACATGATCTCGGGTAAGTTCACGACAACTAAAGCAAGCCTACGACGGTCTTGTCCATGGAAAGCTGCTTCGTCCGGCAAGAGCTGGATTGACTCGTGCCTTCACTCAGGTAATCCTCCGCTTTCTGAGACACACCTCAATTCCGACGTCCAGAAGAAGTACAAGATCTTGATCAAGAGACACGATCGGACGGTGGGGCTGATCGGTGCCAAGAAGACTGGTGGAGATGCTGCAACTGGCGACATCATCGTCTTCTTCGACTGTCACGTGGGACTCCTGACTCAGTCTCAGATTTTTGTGAAGATGTTACTAGTACCTCAGCTACTGATACCAGGACAGGCTGCTGCTGCTGCTACTACTACTACTACTACTACTACTACTAGTACTACTACTACTACTACCACCACTACTACTACTACTACTACGACGTTACGACGACTGCTGCTACTACTACTACTACTACCACCACCACTACTCCTACTCCTACTCCTACTACTACTACTACCACCACTACTCCTACTACTATTACTACTACTACTACTACTACTACTACAACTATAACTACTACTACTACTACTACTATTACTACTACTACTACTACTACTACTACTACTACTCCTGCTGCTGCTGCTGCTACTACTACTTCTGCTACTGCTACTATGTACTGATTGCTACTGCTATTGCTTTCACTGTCATCATCACAATTACTAAGACTATATCCATTACCTGTACTGTTGCCTTACTAGTATTCTGACTCATACTCTTCTTCGTACTCAACCACCCCAAATCCTTTAAGCTTTAAGCCTTTAAGCTCTACAAAAAACCCAAGCCCTGTACACACGACTACGAACTCCTGCACCTCGTTGCCTGTGCTCCTGTACGCATTGCGAGGGGATACACGCCCGGGTTTTGTCTCTTCTGTTTAACTGTCGGCTCCCTGAAATGCATCGTCTGGGGGTCTCTGAACAAGCCGCCTTGTAGCTCGCGGCCGTTAAGCCTCATGCCCGTGGCTAGCGAGGTCCGGCATCCGCAGTCGT